GCTGTCTGAAGGTAACGAGAACTCACGCTGCCTCTTGCGTGTTGACAGGGGTTGATTAAGGCTGTTTTAGAAAAGCAGGTGCCAGTGAGCGTGGCTGAGGGGTGGCGATGTATCCACTGTGACAGAGGAGCTATTCAGGTCTAGCCTTGTTCTCCAGGAGCTTGGGTCTGTGAGGTGCACGCAAAGCTCCAGCACAGGAGGGTCTGCCCTCTGCTCAAGTGATCTTTTGGGAATAAATTTTACCCTCTTGAAATAGGACTCTCTCAAAAGGCAACAGCTTTAAAGCTTTCAAGCTTTCTCTGTTTTCCAGACCTTCGAAGGTCATGATGCCTCTGTGCTGAAGATTATTTTTGTGAGCCGAGGAACACAGCTGCTGAGCAGGTAGGTTGGCTGCACCACGAGTCTAGAGGAAGATGCCAAAAGTCATCAGAAGAAAAATCTCTTAGTTGATACCAGCAATGAGAAGGAAGTGAGTGTTGTGCAGTGGATTTAGCTTTGGAAAGACAGATGGGGAGATGCCATGTTTATGGCAAGCTCTCCGTGAGGGCTGACTCCTCTTCCTCTTCTCCGGTTATGCTGGAGTTGTGAGCTGCCGTGAAGTTCCTGGGTTGGTGATGGATGTTGTAATTAGGCAGAGCTAAGGGTGCATCTCACCCTTGACCCTTGTGCTTAATTCTGCTCCTGTTTAAAGGGTGTAGGCAAGGGGCGAGTTTATCTGATCATTGAGGTGGAACAGAGTGAGACTAGATCTAGGAAGTCCTTCACTGTGAAGGTGGTGAAACCCTGGCACAGGTTGCCCAGAGAGGTGGTGGAGGCCCCATCCCTGGAGACATTCAAGGCCAGACTTGTTGGAGCTCTGAGCAACCTGCTCCAGTTAAAGGTGTCCCTGCTCACTGCAGGGGGTTGGCCTAGATAACCTTTAAAGGTCCCTTCCAGCCCAAAGCATTCTGTGATTCTCTCCAGTGATTCATCTTGTGTTCCTTTCTCTTCCAAAAGCGGTTCTGATGGTCTCTTGAAACTCTGGACAATTAAAACAAATGAGTGTGTGAAAACCTTGGATGGTCACGAAGATAAAATCTGGGGCCTTCACTCTAACAAGCAAGATGATATGGTTGTGACGGCGTCCAGTGACTCCTGCGTCATGCTGTGGAAGGTACAGGATGGGCTCTTCTGTGTTTTCTCTCTGGGTTAGTGATCAGAAAGCAGTTGGAGAACTCAGGCTCCCAGCAGCTTGTTCTTTGCTGTTCTGGCGTGACGGGTGTTCCCCTCTGTTTGGACTCAATGATCTTAAGGGTCTTTTCCAATCTAGGCAATTCATGACTCGTTTTTTGCACTTTGATACTGGGTCTCGGCATATCTTCCCGGTTTGGGGTGGAGTTTTGGCCGTGCTGGTCTCACAATCACTTGATGGGTAACTGAAAATTCATCTGTGGTAAAGGAAGAGTTGACAAAGTTCTGTTCTGTTGTGGTTTTTTTTATAGGATGTCACTGAAATTGAAGAGAAAGAAGCTCAAGCTAAGCAGGAGGAGCAGATTGTAAAGTAAGTTGATCTTGTGCAATCATAAGCTGTTGAAAGGCAAACTCCTTCCCTTGACACTGTCCTTACCTAGAGATATCCACCTCCATCTAATCCGAATATTTCATCATTTAGCTCTTTAGGGGCTGTCGAGGCACAGTCTCTTCTACTTTATGGTTTATCATTAGTTCCTGCAAGGCCTTGCTGTAGTACTGCCAGCTTAGCAACTGCTTGGTTTCGCGTTTGTGCACTGCTACGACAAGCAAAGTGAAACTGCTGAAACCTGCTTTCGTTTTCTGCTGCTTGAGCCCTCACTGAATAGTTCAGGGAGCCCTCGAGTGTGCCGGGGTAACTACCTGCACCAGGCGAGCACTGAGGCGTTGGCAAGCACTATCGATTTCTGTATGTGATTATTGTCAAACCTGCTGCTTTCTGTACTGTGGAGTTTTTTTTCCACCAACTAAATATTTGTCTCACTGTGTCGGCCCCGATTTTGTTTTCCAGAGAGCAAGAGCTTTCTAACCTGCTTCATGAGAAAAGATACCTCAAAGCTTTAGGGTTGGCAATCTCTCTGGATCGCCCTCACACGGTGTTGATGGTGGTCAAAGGTGAGTCCCTGATACGCTCTGAAGGCATTTTTCTGCCCTCTCTGCTTTCCAGAGCAGTCTGACTGTTTGAAAGCCTGTTTTCCCTTTCTCTTCCCGTTTTCCAAAGGGAAATCACCCCAGCTAACGAACAGTCTCTACCTGCTCTCAGCCCACACGAGCGCATGGGCTGGACACTTGCATGGACTCTTCATTTCTCTTTTCCTGCAGCCATCCTCAAGGAAACCGATGGGAGAAAGCATCTGGAAGAGAACATTGTTCGGCTCCGGAAGGACCAGAAAGGTTTGTTGCGACATGGCTTAAGTGCTAAAACCATTTGGGTTAGGAACTTGCTTTCTCAACTGAAATAAAAGAATCTCCCCAGACTCAGCATTTACCCCGAGCTCGTGGTGCCCGCCGGCAGCTGCTCTGAGCTCCTGCGAGCGACTTTGCTGCCCTTGCCGCCCCCTCGTTTAGGACGTCCCCCTGACGTCTCAAGAAGCGGTTCTGTGCGTGGTTGTTCCGCCCCTCTGGGTGTGTGAGCTGTGGTCTGCAGGAGCTGAACGGCTCCGTGAGGCAGAAGAGGCTGTTTCTAACTCGGCATCTCCTGCACGCTGGCCTGTACAGATTTCTTTCCTCCCTAGAGGCTGTGTTAACCTTCTTGGTGACGTGGAACACAAACTCTCGGAACTGCCACGAAGCCCAAGCAGTCATTGAAACCCTCCTGAAGCACGAAGCGCCGGACACCCTCCTGCAGTACTCGGGCATTAAATCTGCCGTGGAGTCCCTGCTGCCCTACACCGGTGAGTCCAGGGTCTCCCCTGTGGTGACTGTTCCCTTGTTAGCTTTGCCCTAACAGCAGAGAAGGGGAAAAGGCTCTTTGTCAAGGAGTGTGGTGATAGGGTGAGGAGTAACATTTTCAGACTCAAAGAGAGTAGATTTCGATTAGATATATGGAAGAAATTCTCCGCAATTAGGGTGGTGAGACACGGGCGCAGGTTGACACTGCTTTGAGTAACCTGGTCTGGCAGGAGGTGTCCCTGCCCATGGCAGGGGGGTTGGAACAAGATAATCATTAATGTCCCTTCCAGCCCAAACCGTTCTAGCACTTTATAGAGAGGAAAGAGATTTTTGCACCCTGTTCTGGCCAGCTTTCTCTGCCGTAGTGTTCACCGTCGCGTCCGTCTCTTTGCAGAGCGTCACTTCCAGCGGCTGAGCCGGTTGCTGCAGGCCTCCATGTTCATCGATTTCATGTGGCAAAACATGAGGTTGGCAGATGCGTCCCAGCAGGAAGATGTGATGTGACCTTTCTCCTCCCACCAGTTGCTCTTTCCGGAGGGGAGAGTGTGAACTGTTTTCCCGCCAGGTACAGCAACTGGACTGTCCCTGTACTTTATAATAAATTTTTTAAGTTGGAATTTCTAAAATGAGTCCAGTGTTCTGTCTCCCTTTGGTGCTTAACGAGAGGAAAGGGTTGCTTCTTTACCCAAGCTGTGCTTTCCCTCTCTATCTTCACACCCTGAATTTTCAGGCCCAGACACTTTAAACAACACTTTAGTTTGGAGAAGAGGCAGAACCTGGCTCTGAACAAGCCGTTGGTCTTCACTGGGGCCATCAAGACTTTACAGAGTTGAGAGATGCTACTGGAATGTCGAGTCGTATCGCAAAGCCCAGCTCGGCCTTGCACGTTGTGCAGCAGTGTCCGAACATTTAATTTGCTCACACCTGGACCCACCCACGCAGTTAGTTCCCGGTGGCAGGAGAAAAGCGATTTTAATTCCCCAGCTAGCAAATTTGTAAAGCATAAGAAATACAAGCAGCCTTTGTAGATATTTACCTGTGTTTTATTTTAGACAAAAACATATAAAATTTAAGAGAACATAAACACCGCACTAGTCAGTTAAACTGCTTGTTTCAAAAAGAAAATAAATTAGCAAATACCTGGGAGGATAACTAAAATTAAAGGCAGCAGTCTACATAGAAGTCCTAAGTTTTCCTCTAACTGTTTTTCTAACTCAATTCTAACAAGTGAGTTTAGGAGGAGAATTGCCGTGAGTTTCGGGAACTGTGAGTTCTCCTTGAAAGGGGAAAGTTTTGCTCATCAGAATGAGCTCTGGTCCCTTTCGCAGTTGGGAAACGAGCTGTGCTACCCTCGGGTTTGTTTCTGTGCACAGACGTCCCTGTAGAGAACAGTCCCAGGGGAGGTTTCTAGCCAAGATTTTTTTGGTTTAGCTGTTTTAGCAGATTCAGCAGATCCAGCCAGTTCATGTATTTGACGGCCAGTTCTCCACTACCCCAATTGATGTAACTTACGAAAACCCCAAAGTCCCAACCATCAAAAATCTAAGAATAAAATAAAATAGAGGCTTCAGATAAATAACACTGACACAGCTACGTCATCCCACCCCAATAACTGTAACTCTGGGTTTCCTGGGTGCTTCTGTCTGGGTTTCACGCTGTAGCTCTCCTGGGCAGCTGCAGGACTCTACCAGCTAATCCCAGTGTGGGGAATAACGCGAGGACAGTGGTGAAATTTTCGTTTATTAGACTGCAGGATAAATCCCTGTTGGAGAGAGAGCTACGTGAATCCGAAGTGGCCTCCCCCCAAGCCGGGAGCTGCCAGATCCCCAGCTGCAGTGACTCCTCAGATATTAAACCCCAAAATCTGCTCCAAATAACTCTTTCGGTGCCAGTTGCCTCTTACCCCAGGGAGGCACCGTCTGCTGGTGTGTTCTGTCAGGATCTAACTGTGTCCTGGGAAAGGAAGGTGACGCTCCCAAGCCCTGATGCTCCTTGTGCCGCTGCCCATGGCTCCTGCAGGACTTTGGCGAGGAGGGGGCCTGGCTCTGGGCTGTGGTGCTGGCACAGGGCTGGGGCTGCGCCCTCTCCCTGGGGGGGCATTAGTGCACGCTGGGGAGAGGGAGCAGAGCCTGGAGGGTCGGCCGGGAGGAAGACTGCTGCACGGCTCGCTTCGTCACGGGGCTGCACTTCCGGAGGATCTCGTGGGCTGAGGGGCGCACGGGTACCTTGGGGACACAAGTGGCCAAGTCTGGGTCAGTGAAGGAGGAACTCAGGTTGGCTGTAGATGACTCCACGAAGCCGGAATCGTTCCTGTCCTTGTGGGTGAGGTGTGGAGACTTGCTGCGGTGCGAGGCCAAGGCGTGCCCCAGGGGAGAGCTCCTGGGCTGCTCCACTTCAGGCAGAGATCTTGACAAATCGGGTTTCCAGCTCAGCTGGCTGTCCCGCTCGCTGCTGCTCCCCGAGCTGAGAGACACCAGGTCTGGGGTGGAGGTGGCCCTAGGCAGAGACCTCGATCTGCTTCTCAGAGAGATCGTGTCCTCTCCGGTCTGGTCAAGACGTGAGCAAAGCTGCACCCTGCCCTCTGCCACGGCCTCGTCCCACGGCTGGGGAGCTGTCGGGGAGGGGCAGAGGTTCGGGGTGGAGATGTTGAGCCTGCAGTTCATGATTGTCTGGAGCTTGTGGTGAGGATTTCTGTAGGGCTGGAGGCACAGGGAGGGGATGTACCCAGTACGGCCGTTGTATCTGAGGGGGAAGGAGGGAAAGCAACACTGAGAACAGCCCTTCTCCGAGCCCAGACCACGGGGAGGGAGCAAAGCACTCGTGGGCAGCGGGTGAGGACTTGGTCCAATGCTGTACGTGGGGTGTGAGGAAGTGGAAAACTGTCCCTGGCCAAGGGCAGACAGCTCTGGGGAGCCCCTCTGCACCCTCCATGGGTAGGAGCAGGCAAGAAGCACCTGGAACAGGTAACCAGCTGCCTCAGGGAACGAGAGCTTCAGAAAAGCCTTACCGGATCAGCCACCAGCCGTCGTTGGATTTCCTGACCACCTCCACAACGACGCCGTTGTTCAGCGAGAGCTCGTCTGCCTTCTGAGACTCGTAGGCCCGCGCGACAAAGTACAGGCTGCCTGCGGAGAGAAGAGGGAGGTCAGGTTTGCCTTGCAGAGAAAAATCTCCCCATCCCTGTGACGGGCAGGCTCAGCAGCCCTGGGGAGCAAGCGAGAGCTGCAGGGCAAGTGTCCCTGTGAGGGGCCGGTTTGCTCAGCCCCACAGCTGGCGGCAGAGCTGATCAGAAGAGTCAGAGCTTCAGGCAGGGGCTCCAAGCCGTGGTTAAAGCGGTGGAGGTTTTTTTGCAGAACTATACATTTTTATTTTTCTTTTCTCCAGGAGGAATGTGGTGTCCCAGGGAGCGGAAGCAGACTTACCCTCCTCGTTTGAGCTTAAGGTGTTCTGGATGTCCTTGTGGATGTCAATCTCTTCCAGGTACGAGGCCGGGAACCAGGCTATTTGCTTGTCTGCGTTTTCTACTAGCCACCACCCTACAGCGAAATAGATTTTTTAACAGGCTGTAAGTAGACAGATGATTGTAATCCCTGAGTAGGGGCTCCTTTGCTACGAGAGACGGGAGGGACATTCTGCAGAGCAGCTCGGTGCCCGTGCCGTGCTGACACTGTTCCTCCCTCTCGTGTAAATCCAGGTAAGAGATGCTGCTGGTTTGGCACTTGCTGAGCTCTGAATCTATTGCCATCATCCCTCCCCGAAACCGAAGAATCCCCTTCGAACATACCCGTCATGTCCTTGATTAACACTTCGATGATTTCCTTCGTAGCGACTTTGAAAGTCTCGTTCTTCGTGTCTTTGGTTTCAAAGGTTTCGATGCACCTGTAGCTCTGCGAAGCCTGGGGGTGTGTGATGGAGGAGCCCCGCTGCCCTCGCTGCGTTTTCTTTTCCCCTCCCATTTCTGATGGCATGATCACAACACTGGAAGGCAAGGTTTAATATCGGTTCACTGAAAGCTCACATGGAAGGCTGAGTTTGGTATTAATTTTGATAAAATCGTGTATGAAGTAAGCTAAGGAAAGCTCAGGCATCAGGAAAAGAGGAGATGCGTGCGTTGGAGCGTTCATCAGAACTGCCCTGCTCTGCTGCCGCAGTAGGTAACTGCTGTTCCTCTTCTACCCATATTCTGTAACATTTCTGTTCCGTGCAGACACATACAAACAAAAACCACAACTGTGATTTCATACCTGTCTTCAGGAAAGGAGGGATCTAGGTCTTGGGGCTGCGCCTTGAAAAACTGAATCACGTCTTCACCACGGGAGATTTTAGCATCCAGTTTCAGCAGCTCCTGGGAATAAGTTTCCAGCAGTTTCAGTATCTCCAGGCACCTGTTGGGTTTCCCGTTCTTCCTCTGCTTCACATTTGCATCTTTAAAACAACGAGGGCAAAGCTGGTGTAAGACAACAATTTAATTGGATGCCTTGAGAGCAGCACCTCTGAGGGCACACGGGTGCCTTTGGCTACCAACCTTCCCAGGCTGCAAGAAGCTGAGCCAGCAGCTCTCTGTGCTTCCCTCTCACTGTTTAATAGCGCCCAACACAATTTTTTAATATCCTAGAATTTATCTTTCTCCATATGTATATCTTGTGAGGAGCTCTGGACCAATATTTAAATGTCATATTAATTTCCCAAGTGCAATTCTCTATATTAAAATGTTTGTCTGGGTTATTTTAAGTCAGTAATAGACTCAAGCACATTGATGTAATGGAGCAGCAGAGCTGTTAATCTGTTCCAGAGGAAGGTCAGACAGACCACAGTCTGTGTCACCAGTTGCTGACAGCTCTGTCGTGTTTTTTGGGCCATCAGGGATTTGTTCTCTTTACCTTTAAACCTGGGTATTGTCCGGTCAGATCTCCTGAGGGAGCCGCTCTCAATGGGGAATTTTTTCTTCAGCTCTTTCTAAAAGGCAGGAGAAGGAGAAAACAGTGATGCTCCACTCCCCCGACACGTGGCTGAGCTCCTTCCCCCCTCCCCGGCATGGAAATCCTGTTTTCAAGGAGAGATTCACTTACGTGGAACCTCTTAAAATCTTCGAACGTCCGGTAAATGAGAATGTTGTTCTGATCTGACCAAGACACAAACATCATGTAGTTCTGGAAAAATAAAAGGGAAAAGAAGTGAGTTTTTTAAAATTACACCATTTGATATTGGATGTTTTCAGGCAATTGGCATTTGCCAGGGTCTGTGGTTTGGTTCTGGCTTCAGGCTTGCCAGCCTGTCACGTTAAAAAGTTAAATTAAACGTTAGCTATTTCCTTAACTTTAGGGTCCCAAGTGGGTAATTGTTGTTAAAACCTGAAGAAATGTCTGACATTGTGAACATAAAGTCAGCAGAATGCAAAATAACCATTTTCTTATTAAGCCCATTAAAAAACAAATCCAAAAGACCCCTCCCTTGGGGTCGCAAGGCTCTAACCCCAAGCAAAGGTAACTCAAAAATCCCTCTAGTTTCCCTATTTATAAATACTTACAGAAGAAAAAATATTAAAAACAAAAGAAAGTACCTTCTGCTTTCTGCATTGCATCAAGCCAACAGCCTTCACATCCACCGGGTACCTGCTGCAGCTCATCTTCCCACTCGCCGTGCCTGGGAGCTGGAGCCCGAGCACAGATCTGGCTCCAGCCACGGCTCCCAACATTTAAATGCTGGTGGCAGCGGGAGGCAGAGCCGGGGTGTCCCGCGCTTCCTCCTCCGCCCAGTAACACCGGCAGAAATTCCGTAATTTGGCAAACTACCGCGTGCCTTTCGCTCCCGGCGCTGCTTTGAACATGCAAATGCTGGGGTGCACAGGTGGTGGGGGCAGAGTTCGGGGAGCTGGGGAGGAGAACCCCCTTATCTTATCGCATCCTTACTGGAATAACACCCGTGAGCCAGCCTGGCCCCGCTGCTGGGGCTGTTTGTCATCCCTGGGTGACGGGGAGGTCACTGGGACAACAACACCCGCTGCAAACTGAAATACGTCTCCGGGGATGTTTATGGCACGGTTGGAATCGCTGCTGTCGCTTGGGCTGCGCCCGCACCGGTCCCAAAAACTGGTTAAGAACAGGAAAATCCAACGCAAATCGGGTGCAGCTCGACGCGTGTGCTGGTTCAAATCTCTCTCCTGCCATCCCACCTGTTAAGACACCTCACATTAAACAGATTTCTGGTAGCTGCGCTGATATTTGCACGGTCTCGGAAATAAATGGGAGGCGCTGATGCCAATGTTGCTGCAGCAAAGGGTGAAAAACATGAGCAAAAAGCAAGTCCCGAAGCTTCTCGGGGGTAAATACACAACGGAGGGTCAGCTCCGAGCGCTCCGTGCTCTGTCCTGCCTGGAGCCAGGTGTCTGTACCCCACCAAGGGAGACATGGAGGCATGGAAGGACCCAGG